TTTTTTTTTTTTTTTTTTTTTTTTTTTTTTTTTTTTTGCAAATGGTGGCCTTCTATTCCCATTATTTCTCTTCATTCATTAGTAGGAATGCATCCATAGAAGAAAAGTTTCTCTCACCTACTATTTGATTACCCAGTGGTATAGAGATATAGGAGATATAGGAAGGATAAATGCTAAATTCTTTTCCTCTCATGGGCCATTTTGCAAAATGGCAGGTAGATTCCCAATGGTGATGGTGAGTTTTGTTATTTTGGTTCTGTTTTTAGCATTGAACTCATGGATTTAAGCATAAGTGTTTACGATCCATTACCATTCTTATTCTTATTGATGTTCATGTGGTTGTCCCATTTTTGGCTACTGGGAATCATTATAGTTGGCTCCTGAGTCTTTTGAACAGAACCCTACTGGTCTTGGATAACATAGCAATCTCGTGTGACCAGATGTTCCAAACTCATCTTGGGCATCTCCTGCCCTAGCACTGGAATTGGTTATTTCTCCATAGACCCCTAGTTTCATTCAGTGAAGAAAGGTAGTTAGAGACCACAATTTGAATGTAAGGGTGCTCACTGCTATGGGTTGGCCTTGATTTGAGGTCTTTCATTGAATAAAACACATTTAACATTTTAACATAAAATACGTGAGTTTGTACTTCCAACCAAATTCAATATCATGGGATTTTTTTAACTTAAGTTTTTTTCAGTTTCAGATAAGTATCGCCTTTCTCCTAAGCAACGACTCCAAGTTCACAGTGACACTGGGTATGACAGAATTAGGATATCCCATATTTGCTCATTTGCTTTGCCCCCCATGGCACGATCAGTGATACCACGTGAAAGGATCTCCAGTCAGGGTGGTGCCTCAAGTACTCCAGGAGGAAGCTCTGCAGACTGGCTGGGAGGGAGGCCCGCAGGATGACACTGTTGGGTGAGTTGGGACAAAGTGACATGAGACCTTGAAGGTCACAAAGGGGAAAACAGAGGGGAGGGCCATCTCAGGACTGCACAGAATGGGAAGGTTGGGTAGGACACCACGGGAGGGAGAAGAAGGCCCAAGGGGTGAGACATCGCCAGCCTATGAAAGGGACTGAGGGTGGAGCCCCTCATACTCGACTACCACCAGCACATAAAAATTTAAAGAAATACCAGATCGCTTAGGTGGCTCAGCGAGTTGAGCGTCCGACTTCGGCTCAGGTCATGATCTCGTGGTTCGTAACTTCAAACCCTCTGAGCTGTCAGCACAGAGCCTAGAGCCTGCCTCTGATTCTGTGTCTCCCTCTCTCTCTGCCCCTCCCCTGCTCACGCTCTGTCTCTCTGTCTCTCAGAAAATAAGTAAACATTTTTAAAAATTACAGAAACGCCAAAACATGGTTACATTAATTAGAAGATATTTTAAGTGTTTCCATTTAACTAATAATTAAAGCTCTTACAATAAAAGCTATGCCATAATGTCATTATACTCACACAAGATAATTAGGAGATTTATACAAATATGTATATATTAATCTGGAGACTCTATAAGGAGTGAGAACAATGGTGAAGCACAAATTTAAAGCCAAATGAGGAACATCATCTTCTTTCAACCCTGTCACTGGAAAGTTCCCCTATACCCCCTGCCCCCACACATACATAACCCCACCAGAGTAGTGCATTTGTTACATTCAGTGAGCCTCCACTGACACATCGTTATCACACAAAGTCCATAGTTTACATGAGGGTTCATTCTATAGGGGTCAACAAATGCATGAGGATATGTATCCGCCATTATAGTATCACACAGAGTAGTGTCATTGTCCTGAAAATCCCCTATGTTCTACCTATGGATCTCCCCCCCTCCCCCTACCAACAACCCCTGGCTGCGGCTGATCTTTTTACTTCTCCGTGGTTTTGCCTTTTCCAGAATATCATATAGTTGGAATTACACAGTATTTGAGACTGGCTTCTTTCTCTT